ATGTACATGATTTACGTCATGTACATAAAATATTAATTTTTCATGATTTTTAAAATACTTTAAGATTTTCCTTTCAACCTAACTTAAATTAAGAACACGTATGGTTTTTGTTCCACTAACTCAACTAATTGACTAAAAGCATATGATCAAACTTAAATGTAAGAATTGAATTATGCATGCTAAAAAAGTAAATCAATTCAAAACTTAATTTAGAGATGTGTAATCATGAAGGAGACTCAATAAACAATAATAAACTAAACAAATGCGACAAGACAAACTAAGTTCTCCCCTTAAATTTCTTAGGGACATGGAACTTCATTCACTAAATAGGTGGTGTGTCTTCATGGTATGCTTCAAGCTATTGTTAGTACCGCAATCCCCTATTTGTCAGTTTATTTTGGAAGGAGTTATTTTAATTGCAAGGGAAAGTGTTGATTTGAGTTCTTCGTATGACCTAGAGATGGACAAACAGAGGCGGTAACCCGATAGAGGGTGATTTTCTTCAGAGTTGAGTTCTTCAAAGTATAGATCTTCCATCAGAGCCAGAGTCTTCAGAAGTGATCTTCGGAGACAAAGTATGAACTTCAAATTCAGAATTCTCAAGCATCTTTTCATCTGTTCTTAGTCTTGTAATCCCGCATACTTGAACAGATGTTAGAATACCCAATTGTTTTTTAAAATACTTTATTATCATTAAAATCCAAAGGATATGGTATCAAACATTTTTGTTCCAACAACTGCCTGATTCAAAACAAGTTAAAAATGTGATTCTCGTCACATGTTTTGAAAAGTTTTTGTTTGCCCCTGTTCAGTTTGATTCGAGTCAGAATATGTACATGATTTACGTCATGTACATAAAATATTAATTTTTCATGATTTTTAAAATACTTTAAGATTTTCCTTTCAACCTAACTTGAATTAAGAACACGTATGGTTTTTGTTCCACTAACTCAACTAATTGACTAAAAGCATATGATCAAACTTAAATGTAAGAATTGAATTATGCATGCTAAAAAAGTAAATCAATTCAAAACTTAATTTAGAGATGTGTAATCATGAAGGAGACTCAATAAACAATAATAAACTAAACAAATGCGACAAGACAAACTAAGTTCTCCCCCTAAATTTCTTAGGGACATGGAACTTCATTCACTAAATAGGTGGTGTGTCTTCATGGTATGCTTCAAGCTATTGTTAGTACCGCAATCCCCTATTTGTCAGTTTATTTTGGAAGGAGTTATTTTAATTGCAAGGGAAAGTGTTGATTTGAGTTCTTCGTATGACCTAGAGATGGACAAACAGAGGCGGTAACCCGATATTTGGAAGCATACCTTCGTTGTTTTGTGTCAGAATAACCAAAGGAATGGTTCCAATGGATTTCTTGGGGTAATGGTGGTACAATACCACATTTAATTTGTCCAATGGCACGACGCTGTTTAAAACAATGTATTGGAGAAAACCACATATCGTGGTGAGATTTCTACAAGGGAAAAAGACTAAAGTGGAGATAATAACTACAAATTGAAGGATCTAGATGATGTTTTATGCCAATTGAAGTATCATTTTGATTCAAGCATAGGAGAAGATGAAGATATATGATTGATAGAATTAGAGTTTGGCCTAACTCAATCCTACAAAATTGGTTGGTAAGGTGGGGGGTGTCACTCTATATAAACCCTTTGTAGATTGTATCTTTAAGCAATGTGGGACTTGGGGTTTTCCCAATACACCCTCCCCCCCCCCCTCACACCCAGCACTAGCAGGCTTGGTGCATGACCCGAATTATCGATATATGAGACTTGGTTTTTCCAATACACCCCTTTGCGCCCAGCAATTTTTGGGCTTGTTGCGCATATATAAATGGTGGATGGCCCAAATCGATAGGCTCGTGATACCATGATAGAATTAGATTTTGGCATAACTCAACCCTACAATATCGGTTGATAAGGTGAAGGATGTCACTCTATATAAACCTTTTATAGATTGTATCTTTAACCAATGTGGGACTTTGGTTTTTCTCAATAATGATGATAAAAAAGAAAAGTGTATTCGTTTAAGGTTGGTGAGTGGGTATTTTTGTAACTTCGACCCCATAGGCAACAAACGGTAGCGCGAATGATTAATCAAAAGCTTCCTCCAAGATTCTTTGGGTCTTTTTCTATCCTTAAAAAGATGGGATATGTGTCTTATAAGTTGAAGTTGCATGAAGGAAGTAGAATTCATATTCATTTTGTTGGGTTTGATTAAAAATATACATGTTGATACTCTTTATGATGGAGTATGATTGTCGGGTGAAGACAATTCAAGCTCATGTGTTATTTTCAATCAAGGTGGAGATTGTTGGGGTTGGTTGAAAATATACATGTTGAAGAAGTCTCAAATCGCTTAGTTTTGTGGATTAAGAGAAAATCTAAGGTTATATATATATATATATATATATATATATATATATATATATATATATATATATATATATATATATATATATATATATATATATATATATATATATATATACACACATATATAGATATATACACACACACACACACACACACACATATATATATATATATATATATATATATATATATATATATATATATATATATATATATATATATATATATATATATATATATATATATATATATATATATATATATATATATATATATATATATATATATATATATATATATATATATATATATATATATATATATATATATATATATATATATATATAGATACACACACACACACATATATAATACAAGTTATTTGAAGTCCCACATCATTTAGTTTTGTGAAGGAAGTGGGTGTCCAATGCTATATATAAGATTCAAGTTTTTATTCTAAGATGCACCAGTCAAAAACACTTTAAGCTTGTATTTGACTTTCTTTGTTCTCTTATACTCTTATTTTAGAATGTTGTGAGATGTAGTTAAATATTAATTTTTGAGGGTTTGGGTGTCCTGGGGGGGCCTCACATTATCTTCTTGTGTTGTGATTGTGTTCATCTTTTTTCTCTATGCTTTATTGTTTGTTTTTTCAAACAACTGGTATCAGAGCTTTTGGTTTGATCCAGTGATAAGTGTTCTTAGTATGCTCTGTGGTTGCAGTTTTGTCTGATCTTCCACATCAGAAAAGAAGGGTAGTGTTGTGAAAGAGTTGTTGAACTGCAGTCACAAATTCTGTTGTGCAGTTTGGGCTAGAGAAAATTGATGGAATATTTTTTTTGACTTATGGAAAGTTCAAGTCAAAGATGTGTTGATACAATCAAGATTATACAAGGTGCAAGATTATGTCGATGGTTGAAGAGTTTCCTGCCAACAAAGTTGCACCATAACATTTCAACCTGGTTTTCGATATAGATAAATTCTTGAAGTGGTACAGCTTCAGGTGAAGTATACTCTTCTTTAGGTGGAGTATGATAGTTTCTAAAACTATGATTGTCGGTGAAGACAATGAAAAATTCTTGGAGTGGTTTACCTTCAAGTGAAATTTATTCTTCATGATAAAGTATATGATTGTCGGTGATGACAATGTGAAATTCTTGAATTATTTTATCTTCAAGTGAAATATATTTTTCATGAGAGAGTATGATAATTTTTAAAATTATGATTGTCGGTGAAGACAATATGAAAAATTCTTGGGATGGTGTAGCTTCAAGTGACTATACTCTTTACGGTGGAGTATGATTGTCGGTGAAGACAATAAAATTTTATGTATTATTTTCAATTAAGGTGGAGATTGTTGGGGTTGATTGAAAATATACATGTTGATACTCTTTATGGTGGAGTATAATTGTCGGTGAAGGCAATTCAAGCTTATGTATTTATTTTCAATTAAGGTGGAGATTGTTGAGGTTGGTTGAAAATATACATGTTGAAGAAGTCTCACATCGCTTAGTTTTGTGAATAAAGAGAGAATCCAAGGCTATATATATGATACAAGTTATTTGAAGTACCACGTCGCTTAGTTTTGTGAAGGAAGTGGGAGTCTAATCCTATATATAAGATTCAAGTTTTCATTCCAAGATACACCTTCTTTGTTCTCTTATACTCTTGTTTTAGAGTGTTGTGAGATGTAATTAAATATTAGTTTTGAAGGGTGTGGGTGTACTGGGGTCTGGGTTAATTAAGGGTATATTATGTGTGTTAGTTAAGGGTATATTATGTGTTGTAACAATTTTTACATAGTGTTATTCTCTGGTTGTCTATTGAAAACGATCGTAATTTTTTTTTCAGTTTTAGAGTTTTTACGTTATCTTCTTGTGTTGTGATTTTTCTCTATGCTTGTTTTCTTTTTCAACACATATTGTGTTCAATATATCTCAACTTAAGAAGGCGATTGGAGAGTATTTGGTAAAACCACAATTGTAAAAACGGTTAGAGATGAAACCAGAAGATATAGAAGAGTCAGATGAGCTATTGGCTTCAAGGTCAGTCACACGTGATGGACAACAAGTGCGCCAATGGTTAGTGCATTGGAAGGAAAGAGCAACAGAAGATACTACTTTAGATGATGAATCAGTTTTGAAAAGTCTATTTCCCTTCCTTGGTCTTGAGAACAAGATTGTTGCTTCGGTCTTGAGAACAAGATTGTTGCTTCTAGGGGGAGGCACCGATAGAAACACTGTTGGGGCTAATTACAATGAACGACTTGTTAGGAAGAAAAGACTCAAGAAAAGATTCAATCCATTTGTTTGGAGAATGTGTCTTCGCAGAGGAAAACAAGTGGAACATAATTATATTATTGATGTGGTATAGGTACCAATTGTTACATTTTATCCAATATTTAGCTTCACTGCTTTCAGGTTTCAAATCATTCATTTTCTTCTTTGCATTATTACATTTTGTCCCAATATTTAACTTTTCGCTGCTTTTCTGGTTTAAGTCATTCATTCTGTTCACTTTCTTTGAAATAATTTGAGTATGATTTTACATGCAATAGTTAAATGAAATTCTCTTGGATAATATATACAACGAAATAAATTATGGGAGAGAAGGTGTGAGAGAAGGCTTTGCAACCTCTAGTGCTCCACAGTCACTAATATAAATGGTGGTAAGTGGCCTGTTCCATATGGCGCGTGCATTCTGAGCCCTTTCGTCTCCGAAAAATTCTGCCAAGTCATTAAATTGGCGAATTCGCTCACCTGGTTGGTAAGTGGGAGTGGAAGCTATGGCTGTGATGACATCCAACCCTGAAATTAGATTCAACCAGAAGCTGAGATATGTAATTGGTAAAAACATAAGATTAGAGATCAAACAGACAAAATTTAATATAGTATGCAAACAGATCAAACATTCCAACATCTGAACAACTCTCTTGTATCATCCGACCAAGAGGTTGATACACAATATCAAATATCAAAACTATTTGAATTTGGAGGTATAAAACATGATAACTTACTAATGGGGGAGAGTACAATGCTTACACACACAAAAAAAACAGAAGCAAAAACATTTCACTAGGTTTAGTCGCCAAGCTCAGAGTTCGCACACAGTCAAATGAGTCCAGCAAAGCATCTTAATACTTGTGACCATGTGACAAAACCACTCATTCTGAAAATAAATGCAAGACCTCGAACTTAAATGTGAATACAATACACTACTTTGTTAATTTTCCCTGTATCATTGTACAAAAGTATTACCAGTTTTTGTACTGGAAAGATGCAGAACCAGGTTTCAATAAAAGGTAGCCAAACAAAAGTTGGAATGGGACATCAACTTTTCGAAAGCAATGGGGTCACAACTTAGAGGGCATCAACAACTTAACTACTAATTCTCAAAGGTGTTATTGAATGGCTGCACCATGTCAGAAAGGCGTGGCAGATTTTTTGACAACTGCCATAGGCCGCAATTGTGTGTTTATTTGACAGATTTTTGCCCTTACACCACTGACAACACTGATTCTCAATCATATAAGGATTGCGACACAAATGAAATTTAAAAGAATGTGAATAACTAATTTTTGCATGCCCTAATTACGGTGCCTCTAGAAATTAATAACATTACCATTTGACTGCAATAATCATTACAAACAATGCATGTGATAGTCTCTTATTGTTAGTTAAAAAGTTGTTACTTGTTGGTTAATGAGTTGGTTAGTTATGGGTATTAGTGGGTCTGTTGGAAGAGAATTGGGCCAAATAAAGGCATGTATTATCTTTCCGTTACACGAGAATACGCTCATTTGCCAATCATCAAATGTCACTGGGATTGTCCAGTGATATTTCGACTACAAAAACAAGAGTCGAGATGGAAATCAAACACCCTGCCGCTTTACCAGTTAGGAGAATTGGATTGGAACAAGGAAAACACCATCAAGAGGGTGGACATCTACCTTATCCCTGTCCGATGACGAACCTATGCAAAGGTACTGTTAAGAAATGTGGTTGGGCCTAACTTAACCCTACAAAACCGGTTGGTAGAGTGAGGATTGCTCCCACTTATAAACACATGTTCATGTCATATATTGTCCAATGTGGGACTCTTAACAGTATAAAGGAATTAAGAAAAAAATCCAATGGGTGGCAGTAAAAGAGAGTGTGGTGAATGAGTATTTATCCTTACATAAATGGGATACAGCTGAGAGCAATCAAAATTGGAGCATGCTGCCAGCAGCCCTTGCACATGAATCCTATGCTTCTAGCCAATCATGGATAATGTTGTGGTGTGCAATGTTGTCGATGGCGGAGAGCCAAAATCCCGCCATACCGGCCGCTTTACGGTGCTGTTATTGCAGATTATGGCGGAAAAACCCACATTAGCGGCCGATTTTTACCATTGATGCGAGCCCAAAAAATGCCATGCATGTCCGCCATAGCAGTAATGGCGCCGCAATTTGATAACACTGGTGGTGTGACAAGTGACTATAACCAGATTCTGTAGTATCAAGTACCTTTAATTGTGCACCACCATCAGAGAGTTCCACTTGATTTAATTCATTGGTCAACTCGATTGATATATGTTTGATGCTTCTATGCTTAAGTATTTTTATCATGGAAGACAATATAATATACTCCTCATTTGGATTCTTCAAATTTATATTCTTGAACATGAACCTTAGCCCCGAAGAAAAGAACTAATACGAATATCAATTATGAAAAAGAACAAAAAGAAATTTTAATTAAAAATTTATTTGTCAATTAACATGTCCCCTTTGACATGAAAACCAAGTACTGTGTTATACCAAGAGATGGTCTTTCATCTGTGTGTACAATGCTCTCATTTAACTTCCCCTCAGGTGTTTGCCAAAGCTTCATATGAATAAGTTTTTCACCATCCTTCTCTTCTCACATTCTCTTCTCACCTTCCTTCTCTTCTCTTTTCACCATCCTTTTCTTCTCACCTCTTCTCACCATCCTTTTCTTCTCACCTCTTCTCACGTTCTCTTCTCTTCTCACCTTCTCACCTTCCTTCTCTTCTCTTTTCATTCATATGAAGCTTTGGCAACATCTGAAAGGAAGTTAAATGAGAGCACTGTACATACAGATGAAACAGAGGAGACCATCTCTTGGTATAACACGGTACTTGGTTTTCATGTCAAAGCGGCCGTGGTAATTGACAAATAAATTTTTACTTAAAATTTCTTTTTGTTCTTTTTCATAATTGATATCCTTATTATTTCTTTTCTTCTGGGCTAAGGTTCACGTTCAAAAATATAAATTTGAAGAATCCAAACGAGTAGTATACTTTTATTGTCTTCCATGATAAAAAATACTTACACATACACATGTAAGCATCAAACATATATGATTTCATATACAATTTTCTAAGTATGCTGATACACTTTTAAAACCTATACTATATTTTCTAAACTATGTCATATATCTTTCGGTGTTAAGTTGTGAACTTCCCCTCAATGGTATTGAAGAGTTGACGTTGACCAATGAATTAACCCAGACAGATGGTCGGTTTAAGTTTGCCAGACTTAATAAGGCTGAATAGATGGTGTGTTTAAGTTTGTCGGAATAAGAATAATAAGGAAAATTTTCAAACATTGGTTGGTATGTCATGTTTTTTTTCTATAACCAAGTTTGCTTTTGGAAATGGATAAAAACATTCTTATAAATTATAATGAATGTAACTTAGCTACTATTAAATAGGGAGCTTAGTTCTAATAACAGTTAAGAGAAGAATCTGCCTTTATCTCTTCATCTGCTCTTGGTATATGCATTAGAGGTGATTCTACAACCACACAAATGAGCATCAATAGGAAGTCTCTGATGGTAACGACAAGATATAGCCTAAAAATTGCTATAAATTGGAGACTTTTCTCAAATTACAATTTCAAGCATTGAGTTAGATCTTTAAAAAAGCACCATAACCTCTACAAAGGAAAAAGTATCTAATACTAATTTGTAAGCTTTTAGGCATTGTGAATTTTCAATTTAGTTCGCTAAGCAACATAGCGAAAACAAGGGAAAAATAGTTAGTTACCTTCAAGCACAGCTCCAAAGACAATATTCTTGCTATCAAGCTGAGGACAAGGTCCAGGTCCGGTGGTGATTAAGAATTCAACATTCCGGTATTCAGGGTCAAACTTAATCTCATCGTCATCATCATTTTCAGATAGGGGGAGTGAAACGATGCCGGCCCGGGAATGTGTCAGCGCAAATGCTTTGGGGTCGACTGTTTCAATGTTGCGGGGGAGGTGGTTAGGAGGGCGGACATCGCCTCTTTCAGGACGACCCTGATGTCCGGCAAGAAAGTACTGACCTGGAAAAACCTTGTGGATGACTGTGTTTTTGTAGGAAGAAGAATTAGGGTTAGAATTGGAAGCGGAAATGCAGAGGGATTTGAAATTTGAGACTGTGCGAGGAACGAGGTTGCCGTAGAGGCCGATGATGACGCGTCCGAGTGAGGTGGAATCTGAGCAAAGAGTGGAAATGTCGTCTCCTAAGGTGCGATTTGGGAGGTAATAGTTGGGGCAGAGGCTGAATTCAATGAAGACGCGGTCGGTGATGGTGGGGTTTGGTGGTTGTGTTGGTGAGGCGGAAGAGGAAAGGGTGGGGAAGGAGAAAGTGGCGGTGGATGTGAGGAGGAGTGAGCGGCGGGTGAGGTTGGATTTGGGAATTGGGTGGTGAAGAGAGGGAAGAAGTGGTGGTGGTTGTGTTAAGGAGGAGGCCATTGTGGTGGAGGAGTAGTGAGGTTTTTCATTATGCACGAGAGAACTTGGAGGAGCTAATCAGTGTGGGGTCTACCTTAGATTAGATAAATCTCTGAAAACTTGCCAACAAGGCGTTATTTTCAAGTGAATCACGAACTCCAAATATATTACTCCTTAGATTATTATATTTATTAAAAGGGTTAAATATATTTAAGATCTTTATATAAAGTTTAAGCTATTTTTACTTTTTGTTTATGTAAAAAAAAATTTCTTAAATAATCATTCTCAAAGATTTTTCGTGAATTCTTTGTCTTTGAAGTTAAATCTGAGTAATGGAAGCTGACGTGACATTACACATAGATTTTTATTTTAGTTTGTTAGTAATTGGAATTGTCAGATGGATATAATAATAATTATTTTTTTAATGGTTTATAAAAATACAAGTTGTCAGCTTTTATTTTTAGTGTCTTAATTATGTCGTTTTTTTAATTTTCTTTTTCATTATTCTCAGTTGAAAACGCCACTGCTTCTGAAACAATGTTATCTTCGAAGACAAACTTAAACAATGTATCATCCATGTCATTTTCATATATAAAAAGTCATGGTGCACATTTATGTGGTTGTTAAGGGAGAACAATATTGTATCAGTGTAAGAAGGGACCCAACAAAGGTAATTTTTTTTGGAGATGTCCATTTGGGAGGGGATAATGACACTAGTAATTTGTTCATATGAGATGAGGATATGATAGCAAAATCTGAAAACGAAGATGGGAGCAACATGAATGAAGATATAGGTCATTTGAAGGAATTGTATCAAGGTGCAAAGAAGAAGAATAAGAGTTTGAAGAACTAACTGAAACCAGGGAAATATTTTGGAAAATTGAAAACTTTTACTTTTTGTAATCTCTTTTATATTTAATTTGTACTTTATGTTCAAATGTAAAGGTCGAAGGATTATGTTAGTTAAGAGGCATTGGTATATTGTTCAATATTGATGTATTGTTTAATATGTACTTTATATATATTGACAGGTTTTGGTAATGAATTTGAATTAAGGTTGACGCACATATTTTTCTGAGTAACAGATAAATGTTTAATAGTTAAATGTTGGTGTGATGTATGCGCTCATAATTAGGAAACCTTTTAATTAGAAATGTTGGTTTAATGTTCATAGTTAAATGTTGGTGTCGCACCTCGAAAAATGAGAACACGACTCTCGCGAAGTGCAATCATATGCTCGCGGAATGGACTTAACAGAGTCGTCACCGAACTTTATTTATTCCCGAAGAGGGAATGGAAAAATATTGATAAAACCCTAAAGAGTGTATTAAAGGTACATCCTTCTGCTACGCATCAATCCCAAAGATGTGTAGCAGGGGGAATGGGAACTTTATTTAAGATGCATATTAAAACACTCAATCTCAAATACTTATTTATTTCATCAAATAAAAAATATTATTTACAACACTCAAACTCAAATATACATCAAATATATATATATATATATATATATATATATATATATATATATATATATATATATATATATATATATATATATATATATATATATATATATGTGTGTGTGTGTGTGTGTGTGTGTGTGTGTGTGTGTGTGTGTGTGTGTGTGTGTGTGTGTGTGTGTGTGTGTGTGTGTGTGTGTGTGTGTGTGTGTGTGTGTGTGTGTGTGTGTGTGTGTGTGTGTGTGTGTGTGTGTGTGTGTGTGTGTTACAGATGAATCTCATGTTTGAGATTCCTTAAGCACATTAAACATATACACCCAACGTTAACGAATCTCTACAAAGTCTTCGCATGAGAATGATATTTCGTCGTTAAAAATCTGCATAAAATATATCAGATTAAACTCATTATTGAGGACCCATAAGAACATTGTAAACAATTCATTACATATATAATATATACCTGATCTCATTTATCAATAATGTCAGTGAAGACAATGTTTAACATGTGTTTCATTATATAATAGCCACACTAGAATCTCTTTGGTTGTTTCCTCGTCTACAAAACTAAACATTAATTTCATGCATGTTATAAATGCATGTAACAATATATATAAATAAATGTCACAAGTAATATAACCACTTACCTTAGGCAAGATTAATGTTGGTTTTTTCCTAATATTATTCAACATATTGTGTCGCTACACAACACTGTACATTGAAAATATTTTACGGATTAAACCAATTACAAAGTCAAAGAAAATATGTGTAACTGAAAATTTCATATAAATATGAACTTACCTATTATTTATTTGCTTCATTTTAAGTTCGAGTGGTTGATATAATGAACACAATGTCGTTATCGTATTCGTCTTAAGCGATATGATGATCAATTGTCAATGATCACCGAATAAATATGAGCATATATATAATTAGTATTTTCTAAAACAAAACTAACTATAAAAGATAAACCATAATTTCAAAATTACTCACGCATTGAGAAATGGTGCAAAGTAACATTCTTTTCCCCTTGAACTAATCGTCACGAAATGTAAGTCTCAATATCTTTTTCCTTATTATTTGTTCATCGAATACTAAACAGATCCAAGATGTTATAAATATTGGATTTATTTAACTTTATACATACACAATGAATGTATCTAAATGGTTAAACAAAATTCAAAAAATAAGTAAAGGAAATTCAAAAATGATAACGTATTATAATGACATGCATGTTCAAGTATAGGGATGCTCAAATAAACCAGTTATTTAAATTATCTATATCTGGTTATTAAAAATCGGTTAATTATTAGTATGGTTTTAACCAAATTCATATCCATATATTTTGGATATATTATTAATACGGTTTTAACCAAATCCATAATTTGCACATCCATATCCAAAATCAAAACCAAATTAATCAATTTTTTTATAAACAAAATTTGAAACAAAAACTTTTTTTTTCAAATAATTTTTTTTTTTAAAAAAAAAATGTTTTAAAAAATATATTTTCAATAAATAGAAAAATACTAAAAATTAAAATAAAAATTATTTTTCCAAAAATTAAAAAAAAAATTCGAACATAAATATTTTTTCTTAAAATAAAAAATTGTTTTAAAACAAAATTAAATAAAAACTAATTATAAAATTGGTTATGGATATAACTGGTTTATAACCATTTTACAAAAATGAAAACCTGTTATTACAATTGGTTTTAATAACTGGTTATAACATATGGATTATTTATGGTTATGGATTGGTTATGGAAATTAACCGTCCATGAGCATCCCTATTCAAGTATATACTTACGTGCACCAAAATTGCAATATCCCTACGTTCAGCCAATTACCACCATAGAGAAAATCTCAAATATCACTAGGACAAACATAAAAGAGCTCTATCAATGGACAGTGCTTTAGAGAAAGAGGATACGGTTCATCACTTTCCACAATCAAAACGTATAAGGTGACAATTTCATTTGCGGAAGGATCTAATAACTCATTAACCTCTTTAGCGATGCGGCTGAACAATTGATTCCTTTGGTGCTAGCATGACGTGCACCATGTGTTTGAGGAACTTGATCATCATCATTATTATTATTATTATCATTTTCATCCGTGAGTTGTGGTAAGGATCCACTTATTCTCTGCGACAATATATCAATACATAATAAACATATTTCTATCGTTTTTAACTTTTCAGATTAAACACAATATATCACACATTTCATATAAAACACTAGCATTTCAGATAAAACACTTACCACATGTAACTCTTCTAACTTTTCTATGTTTTTCTTTCGACTTTCCCGCTCGGCTTCTAACTTATTTCTATGTTATTCTAACTTCTTCTCAACAAGAGCAAGCTTTTCTCTATGCTCTTATAATTAAGCATTGTTGGCGCTTTTTTTGGTTGGACCAAAGAATAATCTAATGTAGGCGCCTTCTCCAACACTACGAGTTCACCCGCCATGCTCATTTGTTTCATTAGCCTCGACTAGTATATTATGTCGTGGTTCGGGAATAAATGAGCCTCCACGGGCCTCCTCAACCAACACATCCTACACAACATACATGATAATATTAATATTATAATTACCAGAATATTTAAACAACACATAACATACGAACAACAAATCATACTTACAATTTTCTCAGCAATTTCTCTTGAAGCATCTGAGGTGTACCCTCCATTTGGTCTTAGTCAAGCCCTCTTACATTTCTCATGCTTTGACGGTGGAGATGGTTTGCGATCACGACTAATGAAGTCTTCATCTGCCATTTGTTTTTTTCTCTCCGTCATTTTTTTCTCCAGTTTCTGTAAACCCCACGAGATAATCTATGGGGGTAAATGTTTTTCGCTTTATTTTGAATTCCTGGTTGACTTTTAGTCGATTATAAACATAGTGAATATATGTTAGTATCTATAAATTATTAGTATCAAATTATCAAAATAAATAAGGTTATTACTAACCAGCAATTTCTCAGAACGACGACCCTTTGTAAACTTTTTTCAAACCTTCTTCGAGAGAAAACTATACCTCACCCATGGATGCTCAAGACTAATCTTAGCATTCCTAATGTAGTCACGCGTGAGCCGTGACTCAAAGCCCCTCCAACACGTACCAGTATGAGTTAACCATTTTTTTAAAGTGCTTATCATCATCCGTAAACTCAAAGGCCAACTACATTTAAATAAATAAGAATGTATTAGAAATTATAGAAACTCATCGAAATGATGAAAATTAAAACTAATACCTTAACATTTGTCCATATGATATCTTTGACCTCAGCTAGCGCTTGTTCCCAATCATCTACCAATATACTAACTTTGCTACGTCCCAAAAACGCAACATAACTCTTATAAAGAGAAAAGTATTCACCATCAACTACTATATTATACAAATCAAACACAATAGGCAATTTAATACCAGATTTGTGGACTTTTGTTACTTTGATAAGTATAGTAGCATCTCTTTGTGATCTTTTATTTTGGATTTGAGTATCACTTGTCATAGTTTTCTCGCAACTAGATGAAGAATACGACGAAGTCGACATTTAT